GTTTAGGCCATGTACTTTTTAATGTAGTTATTGATATGATCAAATGTACATTTAATGTTTTGCTGTTTTCTCTTGTTTATCTGCTATTTTGTTCTTCTGTTTCTCCTTTCCTTTTTGGAATTAACTATTCTTTAGAATTGTATTTTAATCTCTCTATTGGCTTTTTAGGAGCTTCGGTAGCATAGTGCCTAAGGCACTTGACTGCTAATCAGAAGGCTGGTGGTTTAAACTCACCAGCCACTCCTCAGAAGGAAGGTTGGGCAATCTACTTCTGTAGTGATACTGCCTGGGAAACCCAAGGAGGGGTCGCTATGAGTCAGATCCAACTCGACAGCACATAACAATAACAACAACATTGGGTTTTTAGCTATACCGCTTTGTATGATTTTTTCAGTGGTAGAGGATTACAATGTACATCCTTATCTTCTCACAGACTGCTTAGGGTTAGTTTTGTACCACTTCCCATCTTCATAGCCTCTACAAAGCATCATTATAATGTCAATATAGTCTGTGAGCAAATGCACACACCCAAAACCCTGGCAAATATAACTTTGGAGGGGGGATATACACAACAAAATATATGCCCATCCAGTAATTTTACACATGTAAATCAGTGCCATTGATTACATTCTTACATTGTGTCACTATTCTTATCTCTACCCCCAGTTTCACCATTAGCTTTTACTCTGCCTCTGAAAGTTCTCATCTGTGCTTTAGTTAAGAATCTTGTCAGTTTGATCACATACAATTCTTCTTGAGATATTCAAGGCCAATATCCCTTATTAATTGAGCTAGACTCTTGTTTACAGATGATTCATAGGATAGTTTTGGTTGAAGATTTAAAGATTTCAGGACAATAGATTAAAGGATTCCCTCAGTTGCAGTGAAACCATTAAGTCTGAGTTCCATAGAATTAAATATTCTGTTCCATGCTTTTTTCCATTTGATCAGTATCTATCCATCGGGTCCTTGATCAAAATGTTCAGTAATGGGAGCCAGGCACCATCCATTTCTTCTGGTCTCATGGGAAAGAGACAGTAGTTCATGGAGACAATTAGACCTGCAGTCTACTTCTTTCTCCAGTTCCTGGGTCTCCTTCTTGTGCTCCAGGTGAATAGAGACCAATTATATTTTGTGTGGTTGCTCACAAGCTTTTAAGACTCCAGGAGCTACTTAACAAACTAGGAGGTAGAATAGAAACTTGTAGTAGAGTCTTGAGAAATTGTTATTTTTAAAGAAAATCTAAGCCCAAAGAAAAATTGTAGGTATTGGTTCTCGACTGCTGTCTCTGGGTTGCAGGGTACCATTATGTTCTTGCCCCTAAAGAAGGTAGAAAAACCAAAGAAGCTCGCTCTTGCATTCCTTCAGTTTTTACCATGCATCACTTAAGAGAGACAACTTTTTCTTCTCCTCTCCCCAAGTGCAAAAGTTTTCTCAGATCAAGTATCAGTTCTTCTGATAAAGTGCTGTCAGATGCAGATAAACTGCTTTCAGGTGCACCTTACAGTAGAGATAAGGTGCTCTGGTGGCATAGTGCCTTAGGCATTTGACTGCTAACCAGAAGGCTGATGGTTCAAAGCCACCAGCCACTCTGTGGAAGACTGGGCAATCTACTTCTGTAAATTTAGATTTACCACCTTGGAAACCCAAAAGAGGTCACTATGAGTCAGAATCAACTTGATGGCAGTGAGTTTGGGTTTTTACAGTAGGGATGGGAAGTGAAGAAGGCAGAAATTATACTGAGAAGGGGTAAAAGTACAATTATATGGACATAGAATATGGTAAAGTTGTTTGTCAACTTGGCAGGGCTGTGGTTTTGCGTGGCTGGGCAGCTGGATGTAGTTATTCCCTATGATGAGACTGTCATCACCTCCACAGTGCAATCTGCTGTGAGCAGCTAGGGAGCTCCCTTTGGAGTATGGCCTGCTTCTGGTATATGTGGAGAAGCTTTAGGAACAGTCTCAAGCTTTTGGCACATCTGGATCCTGCATCTGGCTGAGTCTTATTTCAGTGGTCTGCCACGTGACCTGCCAATCTTGGGATTGACCCTGGATTTGAACTAGTGGCCTGCTGTGCTGTCTGCTAATCTCAGACTATGCCATTTTACTTGTCAATCTTGGGTTTGTCAGCCTCAGCTGCCGGTAGCTCTGTGAGTCAGAAAAAGCCTCAAGCTCTAGTGGGCCTGAAACAGAGGCAGAGCTGAAGCCCAAGATCAAGGAGCCTTTACCCAGCCCCTAGAGCTGGCACTTTGAACTCGGAATTCTAGCCTCCTAAACTGTAAGAAAGGAGCTCTGGTAGCATAGTGCCTAAGGCACTTGACTGCTAACCAGAAGGCTGGCGGTTCAAGCCCACCAGCCACTCCTCGGAAGGAAGGTTAGGCAATCTACTTCTGTAGTGATACAGCCCCGGAAACCCAAAAAGGGGTCACTATGAGTCGGGTCCGACTCGACGGCACATAACAACAACAACAAACTTATGTAAGAGAATAAATCCTTGTTTGTTAAAGCCACCCATCTGTGGTATGTCTGTCTGTTATAGCAGCACTAGAGAACAAAGACATAGAATGAATTTAATTTTTATTATAAAGGAGATGTAGTTTGTAACAACATTGCTAGCATTCTAAAATTTACATTTTTATAACTTTCTGTACTTTCTTAAGATTAATCAATACATTTCATGGCAGATATGTACCATTTATTTATTTATTTTTCATTAGAAAGGAACTAGGTAGACATTGGGTGCTTCATTTACTAAAAACATGTATTTTTTGCATTATAATACAAAACTTTAAAAGGTTGAAAATTAGTATTCTTTCATACTAAATCTATGAATATATGTAAAACAGAAATACATGTTTAAAAAAAAAGTTATGAATGTGCATGAAATCTGCTCTCTGAAAACCTCTCTCCCCTTTGCTTCAAAGCTTTTTGAAGTACAAGTAGTCCAATGTCACTACTTTCACTTCTCAATCTTCAAGCCCTTGAGTTTCTGTTGCTATCATACTTCACCAAAAGTGTATCATTACTTGATGGTTAATGGTTAAAAGCAGTTTTTCATCCAGACCTGGGTTCAAATCCTGATCCTGCCACTCACCCTAGAAAATCCATTTGCCTCTCTTAATCTCAGCTTCTTCCTTAATAAAATGATGTAACAGTACTTCTCTATTGGAAGGGTTCAAAGGGGCCACCTATTCCCTTCCTGAGCTTTTCCTGCTTGGCTTCTGTACCACCTCTCTCCTGGTTTCCTCCGTTAGCACTTACATCTCCTGTCTCCTTCGTCGGTCTTTTTGTTTCTCCCTTTCAATACAGGTTCTTCTTGTTTGGTCACCTATCTTCATATTCCAAGCTTTCCTTGGGTGACTCCTTTCAAATATATGGTTTCAGCTATCACCCAAATCCAAATTATTCCTGAATCTTTATTTTCAATGCAGACTTCATGCCTGAAATCTAGCTATTCAAATGTTTAATGGATACCATCATTTGGATATCTCCAAGATAAACATGTCTAAAACTAAACTCCACAATCAAGTCTCAATTCCATACTTCCAATGTTCCTTTACTCTGATCTGTTTTACTGGTTCTTAAAAGCTATTCTTATCCACAACATCTAATCAATCTCCAATTTCTGTTGATCTCCTAAATCTCTCTCGTATCTCCCTCTTCCTTTCCATCCCTGTCTGAATTTACAAGCTCATCAGATCTTTTCAGTAACAAGGAGACCTGATTCCACACAGATGTAAAAGTGAGCTTTCGCAATTGCTCGGGGTACAAATCCCAGCTGTGCCACACAGCAGCTGCACAAGCAAGGACATCACTTCTGACATGTTGCTGTTTATTTCTGAGATATCAGAAGAGAAGAGGCTTCTGCTCAGTTAGCTGCTGCTTCGATTATAATGTCAAAACAGAGCCAGTTATAACATAAAGAACTCCAAACTCAAGTTTGATTTGACAACAGGTCAGTCTATCTTCAATGATGGTGATTACAGGACACATTAAGTGCAGACGGGAACGGGCCCTCAGTAAGCGAGCTGCTGGCCAAACATCCATCAGGGCTGCTGTAGAGGCCATACTGGCACCAAGGAGGAACTTGGTCTTGAGGTTCTTCCTCTTGTTTCAAATTAGACTTGGAAATAGGTGAAGGATAGCTGTGATTACAGGTTCTTGAAAGTTTTTATTATGATTTCTTATTTTTGTACCTGAAAAACAATGTTTGAGGATCCATAATCTTTATTTTTAAAAAGACATACAGATAATGTATTGACAGCATATGGTCAGTGGTTACATTGACTGTCTTAAGATAATTCCTCACCTAAGAAGTTTTTTTAAGTCTTTGAGGCCGATACCAGTCTAGCCTTTGGTTCTTCGCATTGTACTGACACGATCTGGCTTTAGTTTCTGACCCCTCTAAAGAACAGAATCTAGGGACTTCTGGATTCCTTTTGGGCAAATGTAGCTGGGATACTTGCCAGGCTGGGCCCCAATTTATAGAGCTATTTTTCATCATCTTTTTTTTCCTTTTAATTCAGACTATTAAAGCTGGATTATTAATCCAAGATTTGTGTTTATGTTAGGGGCTAATATAGCTTAGCTGAGGCTTTGTTATCTCAAGACTACTGAGCAGAGGTCTGGTTCAGCCTCTCCTTGCACAAAGGAAGGGGTCATTCATCCAGGAGATAAAAGTCCTTTTGACATCAAACAGCTCCATATGGCCTGCTGCTTCTGGGAGCTCCATACATATACGGCACCAAGAACCTTGCTCCCAGTCTCACAGGATCTTCCTGCACTGTCTTCTCCCTTGTCCCTGGCAGACGAGGTTTGCAGGGCTGCTGCACAGATCTCAGGCTCCTCTATGGGTTCTTCCTGCTCCACAGCACGCCTGGCATTCTGTTTTGAGCCTGTGCCAGGAGATAGTGCTGGTCATCACGCTGCCTGTGCCACGTGACCTTTCCTAATCTAGTACATCCTAGCCAAAGAAACCCCCACTCTGGGGACATTCTACTCCTATTTTTCTCTTATTTGTTCTGATGCTTCAGTTGCAAGAGTGGTGTCAGCTGAACTTGCTGTCACAGTGGGCTCTGGTTCCAGAGGAAGAGATGGTGGCTTGGTGAGCTGGGATGTTCCTCCAGCACCTGATAATGAAACAAACAGCTTGAATTCTGAGTTCACAATTCCAGAAGAAATCATTATTTTTACTGCTAAGAGGAAACTCCATTATTTTCTAGGATTAGTGGAACTGCGGTGGATTTTACAACCATGAGGGAAGACCATGACTGAAGAGAGAAACCAGCAGTCAAGTTTGCACTCGACACGTCAGTGAAAGAAATCTTTCATTACCTGCACATGCCAACTTACGATGAGATGGTGAAAATTCAAGCAGGACTGCATTACACAATGTACTATAACGATGTATTTATAAGCATGAAAACTGTAAAGATCCAACGTATTGATCATCTGACTAAGCCTGACAGCAGCTGTTACTACTGCACAGCTTGCCTTAAGGAGACACGTGCCACTTTGACCACCCTGGGGCTTTTTCCCCTCTGGGCAACACTACTACTGGAGACATTCTGAGTGTGAAAAGTACAAGCCTCACTCAAAGCTGCAGCCTCTTTGCTGCCACAAGGGGTTTGGGCCTTAGGTCCTCATGGAGCTTTGTGCAGCCTCCTACCTGTGGTGAGCTTCCTGTATGCAGCTGCTGAAGACATCGCCTGTCCTAGAGCCTGATTAGAGCCGAGAGGCTGTTGGAAAACAGCCAGCTTGCTGGTTGAACAGGTCCGGTGCTTTGATTTGGAGTCTTTAACTGGTTTAGTCCAGACCAGTGCCTCTCCAACCTGGAGAGCTGCTCCCAACTTCTGGGCCATCTCCACCATCTTGTGCCCACATGAGAAGAAAACAAGAATCACAGGCATGACTGGCAGAGAAAGCTCACCTCCCTGTGCCTAGGCCGTCCATCAGGGAATTTTAGCTGCCACAGTGACTGCTAGTCCTGGTATGAACAGCCCTGGTGGTGCAGTAGTTAAACACTCGGCTTCTAACCAAAAGGCAAAAGGTTCGAACCTACCAGCTGCTCTGTGGCAGGAAGATGTGGCAATCTGCCCTCATAAAGATTACAGCCTTAGAAACTGTATGGGGCAGTTCTACTCAGGGTCCCTGTGAGTGAGAATCTAGTAGACGGCAACTGGTTTGGTTTTGGATCCCTGGCATTTGACAGAAGAAGTGCTTTCTGCAAAGAAATCATTCTCAAATAGCAGAGAACACAAACTGCCCCAAATGGTGGCAAGGGAGTTTATGCAGAATCTCAAAACCCAACAACCAAGTTTGGTGCATTATTGGGCTAAACTCCTGCTTTTCCTAGATGAGAAGTAGGAGGCAAAATCTATAAAGAAACAGATTTCAACTCAGATGAGTTGTAATATCAATGACAATAACTCAGTAAGCTTTAATTCCCTTTTATAATTATTGTCTTCCAGGACAGTTTTTCTTAGGTTGTTAATCATTGAAGAATTCATGCCACCAGCAACTTCAAACCTGAAAACAGCCATGAACCTATAATACTGGGATTATTTGGGCTTGATTCAAAAGTCTCCTGACCACTTGCTATGTCTCCTAGGAGCTGCTAAAAGACACACCTCAGAGTCAAATTCCAGAGAGCTGCTGTGCTTGACTAGGTTGACCTTCTTCTCCATCTCCTGGTACTGGGCCAGGGCGCCCCTCTTCTCTCCCTGGTTGTAGAGCAGCACAGCATAGTTGAGGTTCACCAAAGGGTTACACCTGTGGCAGACAAACAGTCTAAGGAGCTGGGGTTTTACAACAGTCACTTGGAGATCCTTCTCATTACACACAAACCAAACAAAACTGGGTAAACAGACAGTCTTCCATTACCCAGCAAGATGGGGACACACATGCAGTGTGGACTGTGGAGAAGAATCAAGGAATTAATTGTCCAACCAGAGACCAGATATTGGGACCAAGTCTGACATCTCAGACCTCCACAGAAACCAACTGGGTCAGGGTTGAAAAAGGATCCCTATGCTGCTTTCTGGAGTCCCTGGGTGATACAAATGGTTAACATACTTGGTTGCTGACCTAAATGTTTGAGTCTACCCAGAGGCACCTCGAAAGAAAGGCTTGGTGATCAACCTCCAAAAAATCAGCCTTTGAAAATCCTTTGGAGCACAAAAGCCTGCAGAGCACAGTTCTACTCCGATACGTATGAGATCCCATGAGTCAGAGTCAGTGTGACAGCAACCACAAAAACCCTGCTTTCCAAAGGAGCGTCAAGTTTCTCTTCGGTAAAATTGAACCCAGAGGCCCACCATTATCATACCATCCAGCCCCACGTCTGCTCTGACTTTCTCTGGCATCCTGACTACTAACACTGGGACTGGAAACGTTCTCTCAGGAAGAGCCAGTGTCAATTCCTGCTGAGTCATCGTGAGCTCTGGAGCCACATCCTTCTCCACTTAGACCTCTGTACAGAGGCCACAAAGCAGAGCTGAGCTCACTCAGCCAGCACTAGTGCTATGGCGCCACCTCGTGGCTTTGGAGAGTCCTACCTTCCCCAATACCATTCCCAACACAACAGCTTACTTATCCAGGAGGACTGCTTCGGCATAGGCTCTCTTGGCATTCTCTACATCCTCCAGATTGGTCAGAGCCACTGCAACAAAGAAAGTGAGCAATGCAGCTGAAGAGCCCAGCTTAGAAAACAAAAGAGATGTTTCAAGACCACGGTTCATTCAGCCCCCAAACTAAACTCTTCCTTCACCCTATCAGCTAAGGGCTTCATCATTTAATCAGTCACTTAGCTTAGACACCTGGTGTAGTTCTCTCCCACAGTGCCCCCTCTAAAACTGATCAAGTGTCAAGTTCTATATATATTCTACTTTCCAATTCCTCTTCTGTCTTTGTCCTTGTTCAGGTCCAAGTAGTTCCAGCCTTTCCAACTCTTCCTCCCACTGTTGATGCCTCCACCTGCCTCCACTCCACCTTCCACAATGCCATCAGGTATCTTAAAGATGCACAGACTAATCTAACCATGTCATTATCCTATGTAAGAATCCTATTGGTTCCCCATCACCAACAACTGTGATTTTTAAACTTTCATTTAGCAACAGAACCCCCTTTCTTGAAATCAGTGTTTCCTGGAAGTCTGCTATACAAAACACAAGCAAAGCTGTTCCAGAAGCCCTGCTCAACCCACCTGCTCACCAACCTGTGTACTTCACTTCTAGCAGACATTTTCATGGAAATCCCACTTGAAAAGCATGGCCTCTAAGATAATGTCTAAAGTCCCTATGCTGTACCACAGCTCTATATAATTTGGCCCCAAACTATCTTTTCCTGACTCATCTCCCACCACAATCTATACCACTGATGCCACTAACTGCAATTTTATGGCCACGTGCCTTTGTTCTTCTTAGCCTGAAACATCCCACGCCACATTCTCCACTACTGAATTCCAGCTTATCCTTCAAAATCCAGTGTGAAGGCCACCTCTACTTTATGTAGAGGTAGAACCGCTGCCTTATAGTATGGCTTGTTTGTTTGTATTTCTATGTTCCCATTAGAACATGGGCTGTCTGTATTCAAAAAAAACCAAACCCACTGTCACTGAGTCAATTCCAACTCATAGCAACCACCATTGAGTTTCCTTCTGCAGAGTGGCTGGTGGGTTTGAACTGCCAACCTTATGGTTAGCAGCCAAATGCCTTAGGCACCGCGCCACCAGTCACTACTACTCAATTTGCTTTTGCAACCTTTCTAAGTAAAACCCCCACAGTAATGAGGAAAAAAAAAAAAAGAGACGTGAAGACCACTACCAATGAAGATACAGAAACTGCTTTTAGGCTTACATTTTAAACTCAGTATATGACAAAATATCCCCCAGAAAGAACAGTGCCAGTACTTTTAAATTTTATGCTTGATTTTACATAATAAATGTTATAGTTTATTTGATTAATCTTCATAAATTTTTGTGATCAACGTTTGAATATGTATGGAATAAAACGGGTTTTCAGGAAAGGAACAACACTCTAGACCATCCTGCTCAAAGGAGATAAGGGTTTAATGTAAGATAGCTTGACTTAGAATTACTACCCAGAGACCAATGATACAACAGCAACAACATAATTAATAATAATGGTCCAGATGTATACCCACAACAAAAACAATCGTTAATAATCACTGTTCACCTAACAAATGGTGAAGGCAAGAGCCCACCTAAAGCCTGAGCTCTTAGTATTCTATGAAATCTAGGACTTAGTTGGACTTATAATACATAAAATTAAATTGTCAAGCCAGGAGAAAAAAATTGGCAAAAGGAGGTGAACTAGGGATTATCTTCATTTAACTGCTGGGTGTCTGAGTGAAATTCCCCTTAAATCTTCCTTCAACCTCTAAGAGAGCAATCCAGAGTCCTATAGTGTCTGCAAGGGAATGGCTATGATGGGATATTAAGCCTTGGGCCTCCTGTAACTATAATTTGCTTCTCCCTCATTAGAAACAGGGGAGGAGTCTGCACATGGTGTCTCTTACCAGCCAAGAGCATGTAGAGCTCCCCCATCTTGGGCTGGAAGTTGATGGCCGCACTAAGGAAATGGAAAGCTGATGCATACTGCTGCATGGTCAAGTGCACAAGCCCCAAATTATATAGAATCTTCCAGTTGAAGGGTGCCAAGTAGTTGGCTCGTTTCAGGCAGCTGATAGCCTGCAGGTGTGAGGGGACAGAGTGATGAGAAGGGTTGGCAAGCACGGCAAACCCAGTGACTACATGCACAAACACAAAGAAAGAACACAAGGAAATACTCACTGCCACGTATTTCTTCTTGCCAAAGAAACACATTCCAATGTTATTCCAGAGTGGGGGACTCTCTGGCACAGCACAAGCTACGACTCTGTATTTGGTGAGGGCAACATCAAAGTCCCCATGGGTCTGCATCATGCTGCCTGCTGCCAAGATGGCCTGAAACATGGGACACAGGCAAGTTAGTAATTCAGTCAATCTCAGAAGACTATAGCAGTGAAGAGGCCTTCCTAAGTGTTGATACTCAGCAGCCCACTAGCATAGATGGGACTGAAAACCTTATTCCAAGGAGATAGATAATATATTCAAGCTACTGGGATAAATGGATGTAAGGAATGTCCCTCCACTCTGCTGTAGCTCTCTTTGGGTCAGTACAGAGAGAGAAAAGATAAAATGTCACTGGCTTTTACCCATTTCACTTGTCCCCTGTGTCCAGCTAGGGTAGTCAATATTTTCAAGTATCAGGGCCTCGGAAACAAAATTGCTTTTAATCTGTTCCCTGCTGCTCCTCTCTGGTACACCAAGTGCTCCAGACACCTCCAACCAAATCTGCCCTTGGCTACTTAAGCTACAGCTCCTCTGCCATGGACAGAGGGTGTGTGAGCCTTAGGTGTCCAGTCCCTTTCATTTCCCTAAGGAAAGGAGTCAAAGTACAGAGCTTGGTAAACAAGGAGGTGGCCCAGTCAAGCTGACAGGATTTCCCAGATCAGGACTGAGTCTGAATCCCGCACACAGTCTCTCAAATCTCCCTTCGTGATACTCAGCCACTTGCTTACCCTCCTTCTCGCCCCTTAAGTCCTGGGGAAGGGTTGTAATCTCAAATCCTTTACAGGTTTTTGGAAACCATTTTACCACAATTATTTTTGACAGTAGTTGCAGAGGTTTTTGCTAATTTTCCAAGTAACACATAAAACTTTACCGGTGCTACAGTTTCACAAATGTGCTCTTTCAGAAGGTAAGAAGCAGAGTACCAACACTTTACAATATTTTCAAATAAACAGAGTCACCGTTCATTTATATGTTTTCTAAGAAAAAAATAATTCCTCAGGCAGAAGATATCCCATTACTTTCTGGGGTCAGACCATTTGTAGAAACCATGAGATCAGATGTATGAAGGCTCTGGGGTTTGACAGCCTGCAATACCTTGTAGTTGGTAGGGTCATAAGTCAGTGCATTTCCAAGGTGCTCAAATGCCTTCTGGTAAACGCCGAGCTTGGAGAGAAAGCAAACCAGAGAATTCACATCAGAGGGGAGATGGCAGTTAAGGAGTCTGGCTGACCACATCCCAGATAGAAGCACCCAGATTTCTGTTAGTTCCTTTGATTAAAAAAAAAAAAAAATTACAGGCACTAGATAAACTAAAATCCCCATAATATTTGTGGTTTCCCCATTTTGCTAATTTGTTCCCTGACAGTATATATTTGTAGGAATAATCTCATCTGTCATATTCATGCTATTGCACATTAATGTCTCTTAACAGGAAATGGATTGGTTAGCCTCATCTCCCTTGGGCCAAACCAAAGTCCAGGAGGATTAGTGGATACCAGGTCAAGCTCCTGATTCCTTTTAAAGAAAAATAAAACTGACACTAAGGCCACCACCGAGGCAGAGATGAAGCAGGATCATGAGCAGGGAACTTGGAAGTTTGGGGAGAGGAGAGCTAGGCATAGATGAGGCTTCCCAGGGACCCTTGACCCCCTGATCCTCAGGCTGATGCAAAGAGAAGTAATGGAGCTTAAACCCCATCAACACTCAGGAATTCTCTTTATTCTAGTGTCAAAGTACACTCTTTGTCTCTTTCCTAGCACATAGGGAGGAAGTGGGAAGACAGCTGTTACATTATGGGGACTACCATCAATGTCATGAAACAAAATGTGTATGAACTGCTGTATGGAAATGAATTTGCTCTGTAAAATATTACTCAAATCACCCAAAAACAAAAAAGTGGGGGAAAGGAAGACTCTTTTCCCTCCTTCCCTTTCTCCTGGTTTGAAGATGCAGCAGAAATGGTCTTTGCCCCAAAGCCCTAGATAGTGCTAACTTTTATCAGTTTTCCTCCATAAGAAAATAACAGCACCCCCAGACAATACCAAATAATTTTTCCGTGGTGGAGTAAGAATCGTAACTGCACTAGACCCAAATAAAATTGTTTCTGACTTGAATGCAGGAAATTTATTCATTCCTTTAGCAGACAAAGAATATCAAATACAGAGAGCCAAGACTCATGTGTTTCATATGCCCGTTGATAAAATATGTCTGAGTAATGTTAAAATGCAAGGCAACAACCATCCACACAAATCCAAAAGCATTCCTAACATCAATGAGTAAAGAGTTTTTGAGTGAATGAGTAAAGAGTTTTTATTACCTGTAAGTAGAGTAATCCTAAAGTTGTGAGAAGTTCTGTGTTTTCTGGTGAGAACCTGCAAATACAGATCAGTTATGCTCAGAGAGAAACAAGATGTGTGGGAAACACTGAGACACACTCCAAGTAATCTGCTCTTTTGCAGCAAATGAGATTCAGGTGAGCTCCCATTCCCCATGGATATTCCTGAAGGCAAGTTGAGAATTTCATTCAAAAGTAGGTCATTTCCCAGACTTACTGGTCTGATACCCCCAAGATTATGGCCCCCAGTCACCCTTCGAAGGAGCTCTGGTGGTGTAGTGTATGAGGCATTTCTGACTGCTAACCAGGCAATCTACTTCCATAGTGATGATGTTGTTGTTATTTGCCGTCGAGTCAGCCCCGACTCATAGTGACACTGCCTTGGAAACCCAAAGGGGTCGCAATGAGTTGGAATCGACTTGATGGCAGTGAGTTTCGTTTTTTTGGTTTTTTTTTTAATCACTCTTCAGGCCTGGAATTGAACTTACTCCCATGGCTTCCAGCCAACCACAGGCAGGCAGGCCTATAAGAGGAACAATTAACATTCCTTAGAACAGCTGACCATGGGAGGTCAGAAGGGCAGCATGTGTGCAGGGAGATAGCTCAGGGGGCAGGAATGCATAGGAAAGAAGGACACAGGGAAAAGGTAACCACACTGAAGAAGTGGAAAGAGAGATGTTACTTTATGAGAACTGCAGTCAATCTCACGAAATAAAATGTGTACAGACTGATGATTGGAAAATGAATGTGCTCTGTAAACTTTCACCCAAATCACAATTAAAAAAATAAAAGTAGAGAAGGCTATTTCTGGCTTCTTGGTGCACAGGGAAGTAATAAGGTCCATTCTGAGACACCCTCTAACTTCTTAGGGGTTAGTTAAAAAAAAAGGTAAGTTATTTCAACCCTGGCCAGAGGGAGAATGTTCAAGCAAGAAAGGAATGGGACTTACAATCAGAGTGTCAACTGCTTCAGCCCGGTTCAGTCAAGTGACACTGGATGGGACCTGAGTTTTTAAAATGAACTTCTTAGAATGCTAAATGGAATGGAAAAAATTATGGGTCGAAGCCTGCTGCAAACCTAATTTTCCTCTTAGAAAGCAAAGGCAGCGTGTGCACTGCACAGCAACCAAATCTCTTGACCTGCTGAGTTGAAAACAGCTGTGCCTGGCTCAAAGATAGCTGCTGACCATGCCACTCTGAAAGTCTGTCACTCTCCATATTCCTAGCAATAATCCAATGTCACACATCAGGCTCCAGAAAGGGCTCACTATGCCTATTTCAAGTCTCTCATTCCAGAGGTTCCTGTTATGATTAGTTAGCATTTCAGTTCACCCAAATTTTTAAAATTCGGTTCTGTTCTGGTGTTGCTTCATCGACCATGACCGATCCAGTTTGAAGCCCTGCTTATAATGCAGACTCCTAAAGGCCCTGAGGGAAGAAAGAATCTATGGAACATTTGAGTCACGCTCTAGACTACAGCTATAGAATTATAGAGCAATGCTGGATAAGCCAAGTCAGTCTAGAACACACAAGTTTTAGCCAGCTCCCTCTCGTAGATTTCTTTTTCTGTGCTCACAATGACACAATGTCTGTGTAATTTAGGATCCCAAGAGGCCCTTTCCTAATGCTTTGCTCTCCAAATGAAACAAAAAGCCATACTAAATAGCCAAACTAAACAAAAGAAGAGATGTAGGATCCAGCCCCAGGAAAGAATCAGCCATTGGCCTTTGGGAATAAACACTGGCTAAAGTAAAAAAAGTATCTGTCTTCCCAATTCCTCACTGATATTTGTCTTTGTCACAAAACCAAAACAACTCTGAGCTAAGATGATCTGACTACAGGATCATCAGGCAGTCTCAACAGTGAAAAAGTCAAAGGGCTTCTAAGGAATAAGGTAAAGCACTGAGTGCCTCAGGGAAGACAAGAACCAGAAGCCAGGGGAGGCCTGAGCCGGCCAAACAGCTTACATGATTGCAGTCCCTGAGGTATGAACATCTAACTAACACCCCATACTTGTCCTTTAATATTATATAAATGTGCTCTCACTTTGAAACCAACCTGTAACTTGCAACAAATTCTTCATCACAATCACCTTCAGGTGCTGCACATGTAGCTTTTAAATTAATGAAAAGCCTTCAAGCCCTTGTTTTTAAAAAAAAAAAAATGCATTTTATCGAAATATAATTTATGTACAGTGAAATACACAAAACTAAAGTGACATGGGTCAATGCATTTTTTTGCAGTGTTCCCCCGCTTCCTTCTCACCCCTGAAAACCAACAAAGAAAGTTTCCCTCCATATATAAACCTTTTCTTGACCCTCCACAACGAACTAATACTGTATTTATCCTTCTGTGATTGACTTATCTCACTCAGCATAATGTCCTCCAATGGGTTTATCCAATGTTATACGGTGTTTTGCAGACTCTGCATTATTCTTTAGTGCTGCACAGCATTCCACTGTGCGTATGTACCACAGTTTGGTCATCCACTCCTTCCACTGATGGGCACGTACATTGTTTCCACCTTTTTGCTGTTTTAAATAGTGCTATGAAGAACATGGGTGTGCATATCTATCTGTTCCTGTACTGGCTCTCACGTCTCTAGGATATATACCTATTAATGGGATTTCTGGGTCAAATGGTATCTCCAATTCCAGCTTTCTAAGGAATCGCCCTACTGCTTTCCACAGTGGTTGTATCACTTCACAGTCCCACCACCAGTGTATGAGAGCCCCAGTATCTCCACATCCTCGTCAGCATTTGGTATTTTCTGTCTCACTGAACCGTGCCATCAGTGCTGGGTGGGGTGAGATGGCATCTCATTGTTGTTTTGATTTGCATCTTTCTGATGGCCAATGATTGTGAGCATCTCTTCATGTATTAGCTGGCCACCTGAGTATCCTCCTTGGGGAAGTGTCTATTCACGTCTTCTGCCCATTTTTCAATTGGATTGTTAATTTCTTTGGTGTTGAGGAGCTGGAGTTTTCTATAAATCTTAGAGATACGTTCTTTGCCAGATACGTAATTATCTACAAGTATGAGTTTGTTGCTGTCATTTTGTTATGTGCTTTCTCGTGGTGTTTTCTTTGTTCCGTATAATTTTCTATGCTGAGCTCGTTTTGTTTATGAATCGTGTTATCATTTCTTTCATTGCTACTGTTTTAGTATTTGCTAAATATTTTGGCTGGTTCTCTATTTTATTTTGATGTGGAGGTTTATCCTTTTTTTTTTTTTTCAGTTACCCTGTGAGTTATAGTTTTCTCCCCAAGTTTAGAACAGTCTGTTCTACTAGTTGTCTTCCCTACCATTTAGAAATTCTGTAACGATACAGTTTTTTCCCTCTTTTTAGCTTGTAGTTGTCCTCATTTGTCAATTGATGTCTCTGGTTCCCTGTTTACAACCTTGTAGGTTTATTTACTTTGGCTACTTCCATAGCTAGGTTGGTTTCTGGGTTATGTCACCATGTGTATTAATGGTCAGTTATTGTTTGCTGTTGTTGCTTCTCTGTCCAAAGGACTCCCTTTTGCATCTCTTGTAAGGTTGGTCTGGTTTTAACAAATTCCCTTAATTTCTGCTTATCTGGAAATGTCCTCATTTCACCATCATATCTGAGGCACAATTTTGCTGGGTATATAATTCTTGGTTGGAAATTTTTCTCTTTCAGGGTTTTATATATACCATCCCACTGTCTTCTCACCTGCATGGTTTCTGTGAAGAAATCCAAGCTTAGTCTTATTTGCCCTTGTAGGTAACTTTTCATTTTTCCCATGCTGCTTTCAGGATTCTTTCTGTCTTTGGTTTTGGTGAGTTTGATGGTGGTATGTCTTGGTGATTTTCTTTTGGGGTCTATCCTGTTTGGGGTTCATTGGACTTCCTCAACGGACATATTCTCATCTTTCATTATACCAGGAAAATTCTCTTCCAACAAATTTTGAACAATTTTTTCTTTGGTTTTATTTGTCTCTTTCTGTTCTGGAATTCCAATTACAGGTAGGTTATTCCTTTTGATGATATCCCACATGAACCTTAAGTTTTCTTCATTTTGTTTTGATCTTTATTCTGATTGATCACTTTCTAAAGAAGTACTCAGGTATATGCCTTCAATCTCACTAATTCTGTCTTCCATTGATTCAGTTCTACTCCTCTGCCTGTTCAATGGTAGCTCTGGTGGCGTAGTGCCTAAGGCATTTGACTGCTCCAGAAGGCTGCTCAGCAGCCACTCCTCAGAAGGAAGGTTGGGCAATCTACCTCCGTAGTGATACTGTCTCAGAAACCCAAGGACGGGTTGCTATGAGTCAGATCCAATTCAATGGCAGTGTGTATCTATTTCTGAAAATTTAGTATTAATCTCCTGGATTTCTATGTGTAGATTTTGTATCATTTCTAATTTTTCATTTATTTTGTCATTTTGTTCTTGTATTGTCTTTCGAAACTGTTCTAGGGTTTTCTCTGTGTTTTTCTCAATTTTGTCAGTGTTTTCCTTGATCTGTCTCTCAATTCACTGAAGATACCTAAATATAATTCTTTTGAAATCCTTATCAGGGAGTTCCAATGCTGCATCTTCCTCAGGGATGTTGTTTTGGGTCTGTATCCTGGTTTCTTGTTTCTCCTGCTTTATCTTGCTTCATTGTGTGGACTGTGATGCTCTGTTGTCTCCAAGGCATTGTGACATTTTTGTGTTTATATTTAATTGGTGATGGTATGCTGGAGTGACTTGCCCATGATTTTCGTTTTCTTTGTATGTTATCTACATAAGCAGGGTACTGTGCTGTGCTCCTCTATTCACCAGCACTTATATACTCACCACCTGTTTCCTTTCCCATTGTCAGCCTCCCTCATGTCCCTGCCATCCTCAGCAAACAGAGCCTATTCTTAGGTCCCTGGAATCCGAATGAGACTGCTGTCACTGTAAAATCCAAAATGGCCACTACTTATAAAGATTCCAAATGGCTGTGCCCTTGGTCACTTTATGGCTGCACCCTCAGTCACTTTAAGTATCTAAAATGGCTGCCGCTTATAAACAATTAGTGGATAGCCAAAAGTCCACAGCTCAGGTTGTCTCCCTCCTTGCTGTTTCTCTTCCTAGTCATAGGCCACCAGCCCAGCTGTCCCTGCATCCCTTGGTGACCAGGGCTGATCTTTAGGTCAATTCTCAGGTCCCAACACCACTTGGAAATATTCAGTCTGTTGGTCCTGTCAGAGTAGCTGACAGTCCACTGCTCCAACCGTCTCCATACTCACTATTCTCATTCAGGTTTTTCCACTAGTTGATCCCTAATCCACTTCTATATACTACCTTTCAAAGCTCAGGACTCCAGGATTATCTTCTGTATCTCTGTCAATTGGTTTCCCTTTTCTTTGTTGAAGAGGGTCTGTGGAGCTTGTCTGCCTATTCCTCCATCTTACCAGAAAGTCTTCAAGCCTTTCCTTGCACCAAACCCACGGCCATCAAGTCAATTCCAACTCATATTGACCCCTATAGAGTTTCCAAGGCTGTAAATCTTTATGGAAGCAGACTGCTTCATCTTTTTCCCACTGAGCAGGTAGTGGGTTTAAACCACTGACCTTTTGGTTAGCAGCCCAATGCTTTAACCACACCACCACCAGAGCTCCTTCCTTGCACTAAAGTAAGACTAAATAAGAACCTGTTGCAACTTACTTGCAAATTTTACTTAAAGACACACTTGGGGACAAATCTTGTTTGTAAGCTGGGGACTGCCTATAATTTGTCTTTCACTTTCTGCCATAATATACATCTATCTGATCACCTCCCTCCTCAACACCAAGTAAGCGGCATCTATGATTCTGGCAGCATCCATGTCCCCCAGCCCCAAACACAACAACTCTTTCCAAAGCTGTGCCTCCAAATGCTCCACTGTCCCCTCTTCTTCTTTGAGAATTTCAGTAAGTTAAACCTTTGACAGTCACTGAAAGAATGTCTTGGGGTTCAGGTGCACTAATCTAAGAGAGCCAACTTCTAGAAGGCCAAGATCAGAGCTACCATCCAACACCATAGGCAAAGAGGTACTCTGCATATGCTACATGGTTCCTTCCTACTTGCCCATGTAAACTTACTCAATCCTCTTGATGACAAAAGCCTGTCTTGGAGCTTAACAAAGGAGCCTGGTGGTGTAGTGCCTATTGACTGCTAACCAGAAAGTTGGCAGTTCAAACCCACCAGCTGCTCCTCGGAAGGAAGGTTGGGTGATCTACTTCTGTAGTGATACTGCCTTGGAAACCCAAGGAGGGGTCTCTATGAGTCGGATCTAACTTGATGGCAGTGTGTTTTGTTTTTAGAGCTCAATAAACCAAGGGATTTTTGTGTCAATTTAGACACACGTGGTTGAAGAAAATTCAGAAAGCAATACAGGCACTGATATAACCAGAAGAGGTCATCATTGTAGAAAACAAAGATGAGTAACAAGTTAAAAGAAACCTTAGTTCAGAGTTGAATTATCAGGAATAATAGACCTGGAACCCACACAACAGACATTCTATTAAGTGATTGAACACTAACACATTTTGCTACAACTGTCCCACTTCAAAGAAACAAGACTAGACCCTAGGCTGAAAAGACAAGCAGTGTGTGTCCCTAGAGAGGGAACATCATCATGGTAAGGTCAGACAGTTCTGTTACCAGCAGGGGTGTGGCCTCTCTTAACATTTCAAAAAATATGATATTGGTCTCATGCTAGAAAGACCAGATGTTTATTACTAAATCAGGAGATATCTGTCTCTAATAATCTCTCGAAACACAGGATCTGTTCTAAAGTGTAAAATTAGAGTGGCAGACTATCTGTCAGCTAACCCCAAAAATCTGTTCTCTCCTTCTTTCTGGGCCTGCCCACTTCCCTTGCAGCTAAGTGTGGCCACCTGACTAACTATGAGCCATGGAATGTAAGCATCCAATGTACATCATTTAAAACTTACTATAAGCTGCTTCTGGAATGCTCCTTGGAAGCAAGAATGGCCAGACTTCGTCTCACCTACTTTGGTCAAGTTGTCAGAAGGGACCACTCCCTGGAGAAGGATATCATGCTTGGTAAAGTAGAGGGTCAGTGAAAAAGGGGAAGGCCCTCAATAAGAGGAATTTACATGGTGGCTGCCAACGATGGGCTTAGGTACAGCAAGGATTTTGCGGATGGTGCACAACCATGCAGTGTTTCTATTGTACACAAGGTTGCTATGAGTCAGAGCCAATTTGATGGCACATAACACCATAACCACCACCACCACCAAAATAAGCTGCTTATCCTGTAGTTAGCTTCTTGCATCCTCTCCCCACACCCAGCTTCAACTGTGTAGATGAAGACAACAACCTAAGGAGTGCTGGGTCAATAAGCAAGGAACATTGATCCCTGACTGACCTTGGGGAACAGAGCTGCCCAGCTAGCCTCAACCAGCCATACTGATGTAAAATGGATTCCATAAGGAATCCATTAGGACCCCTTAACCTTAACTTTAGTTTACCTTTACTCTAGCTCATACACATAGCAATCAGTCACACAATTTTCTGTTAGGCTTGGGAGTTTTTACATCTGCTCCCAGTGTTTTTCAGTTTCTGCTTTCAAGGAAATAAACACACTTACTCCACTGCTTTCTTGTAGATTTCGATGGCCTTGTCCAAGTCTCCCTCCAGCAAGTGGATCTTTCCCAGCATTATGTAAGTCAGATCATGCCTACTGAGCTGTAGGGCATTGTGCAACTGCTCCTGTGCCTAACAAGGTTAATGGAGTAAAGAGAACCCAATCATTACCACTGAAAGGTAAAAGGACATGACTTTGTATGGGTGAGGTAGAGAAAAAGCTCCTACTATACTAATGTAGTAACATCCCATTTCAGCAAATGGACCCCACTAGCTGAAGAAGCAAAACCTATTAAAACTGTGCTTCTTGACAAGACAACTGGCAACATGGGGTTTTAGTTTCTGGAGCCACTTGGGAGAGTTTACACAATATGATTAACCTTTCTGAATGTTTTCTGCTTCTTGCTATTCACACCAATGACTAATATGTCACTTCTTGCTATTCACACCAATGACTAATGTATCAGGTAAATGTAACAAACATTATGGTATAGCATAGAGCACTGCACCAAACTTGATTCCAGTTGCACCACTGACCAAATGTGCAACATTTCCCCAATGGGCTTCATTTTCCCTACCAACAGGATAGCGAATGAGTGTATGGTTCTTATTTATGCCCTCAACAAGCATCCACTGGGTGCTAAAGATAACACAGTTAACAAACAACCACTGTGCTCTGGTAGAGCTTATATGCTAGCAGATGATCAAAAGGGCTTTGTTTAGTCATTCATTGATTCAACAAGTGTTTATATAAGAATGCCAGGTATTGTTATTTTGCTCAGCCTACTAGCTTTACCTAAAATCTAATTCTCCTTCTCATAAGTACAGGCTGAACCAAAGACCAATCCCCCCTTTCCCTAGGTTCTGAGTAACCTATGAATAGAAATCTACTTGCTTAAAATATTCTCTGAAGAGAAAAACTTTCTAACCAAATATATATAAAAAACAATATTTAGATCTATCCAGAAAACCTAAGGAGCCCACTAAATATAAATATATGTGTATAATTATATATATGTGTGTGTGTATATATATATGTGTATGTATGTATATATATATATACACATACATACATACACACACATACACATATACACACACACATATCTTACAGGATAAAAGTTAACACTTATTCTTCAAAGGCTGAGGTGCAGGTTTTTTTTCTTTCACATTCCTGAGGAACAGACCGGATTGCACCAATTTTCAAACTGACACAAATCAAACAATGTGAAATGGGTATTAACCCATTCAGAGTCTCTCAGTCCTGTCAGCGATAGGGAAAGGATAATGAAACTTGACAATCATCAGGACTCTCCCCAACCCCACTACTACTAAGCTTTGGAGCTCTTAATAATTTAGTCTAGCCCTCAATTAAGGTACTTTTTTTTTTTTTCCTTTGAGTACCAAGGTCAGCTCATACTGTTTTTTCTCTGATTTAAGAGCTTTGAAGCCTACAGTTTCATCACAATGAAATGTTAAGTTCTCACCATGAAAAATTACCTTAAAAACTGAGAACTCTCAGAAAGCACATCCACTTAACATTTAAATTTTCTAATGACCTTAAATGGGAGCTCTGGTAGCGTAGTGCCTAAGGCACCTGACTGCTAACCAGAAGGCTTGCGGCAGTTCAAACTGACTCCTCGGAAGGAAGATGGGGCAATCTACTTCCGTTGTGATACCCCCTCAGAAATCGAAGGAGGGGTCACTATGAGTCTGGTCTGACTCAACGGCACATAACAACAACAAAAGACCTCAAAAACTAAAATCAATTGCTGACAGAGCATAAGACAGCTCACATGGTCATGACTACACCTTTAAGACTTAAGGGTCTACTCTTTGATATCTAAGCTTTACTGAATACTTGTTTCTATGGAAAATTGAACTGAAGGAAAGAGAGAAAGAAGAAAGGAAAAAAGCAGTTACACTGACATTCTTCTTGTAATATTTCTAGAATATTTTATTTTCTTGTTCAAATCAGAAAACATGTTTTTAAAAAAATCCAGGTGGATAATGACAAATTAGGGGTAGGAAATGGGACTAAATATATAAGGTACTCTAAATTCATTTCCAAGCCCCTCTGCAAGCACTAAGAATTGCACAAAAAGAACAATGGTACCTGTGCAACAATGCATGTACCCTCAAAGAAATCCCAGGCAACCAGTCAACTGACACCACCATTTCTATGAATTACCTTGTTGAACTGCTTCAGGTAAATGTAACAAACTCCTAAGTTGTGCCAGATCTCCTACACACAAAAGAAAGGGAAAAGGCTTAGGTGTCAGAGTAGATATCAGAGTGAACGGCAGGCATTTAGAGACTGGTGTTGCTCAGCTAAGCCTAAACTTTAAATTTAATTCCACAAAATGGGCTCCTTAACATAAAAAATTAGGTATAAAGCAGAATAAACAAGTGATCTTCCTGGGTCTATGGTACCCTGCCCATCCCTATATCCTTTTTCTCTAAGAACAGTTCCCCATCCAAACCCTCTGTACCCCCATCTCAGAAGAGATTACTCAGAATCCCTGCTTATAGGGCAGCAGACCACACAGCTCCGTCTTTATGCCATATATACCTGTACCTCTGAGCCAATCAGATTCCTTTCCCTAAAAATTTGGTTTGGAACAGAATTAGCTAGCTGCAAGCACTAAATTTGTGTGTGTGTGTGTGAGTGATCTGGGTGAAAATTTACAGAGCAAATTCACTTTCCATACAGCAGTTCACATACACTTTGTCTCATGACATTGACACTTCACTACAACGCAACAGCTCCGCTCCTACTTCCTCACAACAGTCACCTCTTCCCTGTGTACATCCCTCCATGTACCCCTGCCCCCTGAGCTGTCTCCTTGTGCATAAACAGTTTTCTTTCTCCCATGATTGTTCTCTCCAAGGAGTGTATTTACCTCAGGTAAATGTTCAACTCATATGCCTATCTTTTGCTTGGCTGGAAGCCACAGGTGTGGGTTTAATTCTAGACCTGAAGGGCAGCTAGCGGCCATAGTCTCAGTGGTTCCACCAGGCTTTATCGGACCAGCAAACCTGGTCCCCCTTTTTTATCCCAAATGATTTTGAGTTTTGTTCCACACTGTTCTCCCTCTTTATCCAGGATCTCCTACATAGATCCCCCTCCTGAGTGGCTGACAGTGGTAGCCAGGCACCATCTAGTTCTTCTGGTCTCATAGTCGTATAGGCTGTGGATCGCATAGTGTACCAGTCACTAGGACTAATTCTTTCCATGAATCTTTGGTTTTCTTCATTCTTCTTTGCTCTGGATGAGGAGAGACCCATTGTTGCATCTAGATGGCTGCTTGCAGGCTTTTAAGATCCCAGTCGCTACTCGCCAAAGTATGTTTTGTGTAGTATGTTATGCCAGTTGAGCTTGATGTCCCCTGCGACTATGGTCCTGAGCCCACAGGTTCAACCACTCACTCGGTCCCTCTGGGCTGTGACCAAGAAGTGACTACAACCTTGTCCCTTGTCAGCTCTACTATACACCTGGGAATTTAGATCATATAAATACACTTATAGGACCATTGTCTGCCAACCCTATACATGGTCTTGGGTACATTCCCCGCTTCATAGACATACCTACTAGTTCAGCCTGTCCACCCATCTATCCACCCGTATACCCATGTTTGCCTTCACTGACAACGCAGTACTATATGTGCAAAAGGGTTCATCTTTGTTGTCTGCACCTCCCATGTACCTCTCTCTGTCTTCCTCTTCCTCAATGCTACCATGTTGATCACTCACATTTGGTACACTGCCTTTCTCTTCACCCAAATCAATACTTACCTCTACCATAATCTAACAGTGTTCCCTCCCCTCCCCTCCCACTCCTGGTAACCAACAAAGAAAATTTCCTTCCATAGATAAACCTTTCCTTGATTTTTACAATAATGGACAAGAATGACTTATTGCACTCAGCATAATGTCCTCCAAGTTCATCCATGTTGTACAGTGTTTTGCCAATTCTACATTATTCTTTAGTGTTGCATAGTATTCCATTGTGTGTATGTACCAAAGTTTGGTTATCCATTCCTCAGTTGATGGGACACATAGGTTATTTCCATCTTTTGACTATTGTAAATAGTGCTGCGATGAACATGGGTGTGCGTATGTCTGTTCTTGTCATGGCTCTCACTTCTTTAGGATATATACCTAGTAATGAAATGGCTGGGTCAAATGGTATTTCTAATTCTAACTTTTTAAGGAAATGCCATACTGCTTTCCACAGTGGTTGTACCATTTTATAATCCACCAGCAGTGTATGAGAGTCCCAATGTCTCCACATCCTCACCAGCATTTGTTATTTTGTGTCTTGTTGAACTTTGTTACTAGTGCAAGCACTAGATTTACTAGGTATTGTGGACTTGGGGATGGATAGCACCATCTAGAGAGAAGCCACTGTGATGGGACATATGTCATTGGAGTTAGTCTGTTGAAGTCTACAGCAGAGGTCAGCAAACTATGGACCATGGGCCAAATCTGTCTCCCTGCCTTTCTTTATAAACAAAGTTTTATTGGAACACAGCCACACCTGTTTATCTATGGATCTTTTGCACTACAACTGCCATTAAGTAGTTTCAATGGATACCATATAAAGCCACAATACTTTTAAATATTTACTATCTGGACCTTTTCAGAAAGTTTGCTGACCCCTAATCTACAGAAAGAAGCTTTCCAGTTCTTATCAATTCAAATCTAACCTCACCTTAAGTTTTACGGAATCTCTCATATTCCCTTATAATAAATTCCCATTTATTTAAGGTAGCTAAAAGAGAAAGGAGAAAGCAAGGACAAGGAAACTGCTCTTGGCAATCATAGTAAGGACCACCCTGTTAGTAGTGCAAAGTTATGAAGAAATAGACTTTTGACCCTATAACACAATGCAATGCACTGCCGTCAAGTCAGATGCGACTTACAGTGACCCCTCCTTGCGTTTCCGGGGAGGTGTCTCTATGGAAGGAGATTGCCCAGTCTTCTTTCCGAGGAGTGGCTGGTGGGTTTAAACCACCAGCTTTCTGGTTAGCAGTCAAATGCCTTAGGCACTATACCACCAAAACTCCTTTTGACCCTACACCTAGTCAAATTATCAAGTGTGAGTACAAAATAAAGACATTTTTTGATATGTAGAATCCAGTAATAATAACATAAGACAGTCAAATGATAAGTGGAACCATTAGCATGCTTAGTAATAAAAAAGTTCTGAAAGTTCTATGCTTACCCAATCTTTCTGGTTAAGTTTAGCTGCTTCATTATATACTTCTACGGCAGCTTTATGTTTTCCCAAAAGAAATCTGTGGAAGACATACATTTCTCATAATTATTACCTCAAACCTTTTGTAAGACTAACCCCACTAGCCCTGTACTTCACTCATTATTACATCCAACAGGGAATTCTAAAAGCCTCTTCCCTACAAGCTAGTTGTGCTTGTAGCACTCCTATTAGGGATTCAAACCAGTGGCTGACAAAGCAAAACTAGAATGGATCCAAATTTTTTTCAACTTTGGGTGATCCAGAACACTAACTGGAACAGGAAAAATTATGGATCACAGCTCTGGAATGGAAGGCTTAAAAGACACATATTGAGCTTTTTATGGAGCTTGATGTGTGACACTGGGTACTACCAGGACTGTGGAGAGCAACACACATTCAAAGCAGCACAGTCAGCTGCCATCTATGAGCAGGGCAACAAGTTTCCAACTCAACCAGTGTGGTAGTTATGTTTGTGTGTCAACTTGGCTGGGCCTGGTGAGTGGCTGGGCAGCTGGTGGTAGTTATTCCCCATGATGAGACTGGCAATCAACTCCATGGTGGGATGCACCACAGCAGCTGAGTAGCTGCCTTTGGGAATGTGGTCTGCTTCCTGTATTTAAGGAGAAGCTTTGACAATGGTCTCGAGCCTATGGCACGCATGGACCCTGCATGTAGCCGTGTCGTTGCTCAGAAGCCTATCATGCTCTGCCGACCTTGGGACTTACAATGGACTTAAGTTAATGGCCTGCCATGTGGTTTGGTAACATCGGGACTGTGCCTTTTTACTTGTCAGCCTGGGGGCTTCTCAGCCTCAGCAGCTGTCTGAGTGAAGAAATGCCTCTAACTCCAGTGGGCCGGGAACAGGAGTCACAGCTGGACCCCAAGGTTGAGGGGCTTTCACCCAGCCCTTAGAGGCTGGCACTTTGAACTTGGACTTAAAGCCTCCAAACTAAGAATAAACTCTTGTTTGTTAAGGCCATCCCATTTGTGGTATAATCTTGTCAGAGCAGCACTAGGTAACCAGAACGCTATGCAACACACACAATGTCCTTGTTTTCTAAAAAGGAAATTCAAGTTCATAGCAGAGCTTCAAGGCATAATTTTTCCCATTCTAATTAGTGTTCCAGTTCACCTATATTTTAAAAATTTGAGTCCATTACAGCATTGCTTCATCAGCCATGAGTGAACCAGGCTGAACTGGTTCGAATCCCTGGCTCCTATACACTAACAGCACAAGCTCTTTTGGCAGGGATTGTACTAGCAGCTGTCCCAGTCTACATTTCACATCAATTTTAGTGAAAGTCTTCTGTAATGTTTTCCTCCCCCTAATGTACTCCCAAATGTCAACCAAAACAGACACAAACCAGATCGTATATAAGATTAAGCAAAGGAACTGTCATTATTTATCATCATCATTTATTATGGAAATGCTCTTCCCTCCCAAGCCTAAATCTCTTTGGCACTAGATCATGAGTCGAGAGAAATGGGGACTCTAGGGCTCTATACACAAGACAAAACAGGTAAGCCAATATACGTAAGAAAATGGAGATGGATTCTACTTTACTGCTCTGAAATGAAGGTGTGCGTAATAGTGTATAAAGACTTTGGAGGTTGCCTGCATCCAGAAGCCTTCAGGGCATTCATTTAACAAATACTGAAAACCTACCAAGTGTCAAGTATATGCTAGTGTTGGGACAGCAGATGAGAAAAACTGCATGGACTGCCTATATGATCAAGGGACTTAGGACACGAGATATTAGTACTCATATTATAAACAGTATCAGTGTCCTTCCTATCAAAGTAGAATGAATACACAGTCTTTTAAATACTCAGTTCCTTAATCTATTACTTAAATTTCAATATAAATTCACACTCTTAAAAGTGAATCCTAATGTATCTACTAAGCCACAGGTATCAAGTGCTCAAGCTGCCAACAGCAGCCTCCACTTCAGAATGCATTTCACACCATTTTCTCTGAGTACCCTTGAGCTCCCAGGGTGCAATACTCACAAAGATCTGGCCACCTGCTTGAGGTTGTCAGCACTCTGAGGGCTGAGAATAGCACACGTCTGAAAGAGTTCTAGAGATTCTTGGATATGTCCTTCTAGGCGAAATATCAATGCTGCCAAGAAACAGAAAATAAAACCATGAGCCTGGCATGAGAAAAACTGGAGAAGAGGGAAGTCATAACAAAGAAACTCTGTGGATAATTATATCTTTTATATAATCAGATGTGACGTCAGTTGGTTATGTATGCAGAGAGACCCTTGAAACAAGTAGCAAAGTTGTTGACAAGCTAAAATAAGTTTTAATAAGGGAGCTCCAACCTACTTACTCCTATACTCCCAGCATCCACCACACAGATAATCAGGTGCCTTGAAAATTATAATAAAATATAAGGGCAACACACAAATTAACTGGGTTTCTATACACCAACAATGAGCAATCTGAAAAGGAAACTAAAGAAACAATTCTATTTACAATAACACTAAAAAAAAAAAAAAAAAAATACCTAACATAATCAGGGAGATAAAAGACTTATACACTGTAAACTATTAAAAAGAAAAAAAAGTACAGAGAGAAATTAAAGAAACCTAAATAAATGGAAAAGCATTCCATGTTCATGGAGAATATAATACTGTTAAGATGTTAACACTACCCAAAGCAATCTATAGATTTAACTCAAACCCTATCGTAATTCCAGCAGCCTTTCTTTGCAGATATGGAAAAGGCAATCCTCAAATTTATATGAAATTTCAGGGGCCTGAATAGCCAAAGCAATTTTGAAAAAGAAGAACAGAGTAGGAGAACTTATACTTCCCAATTCCAAACATACTATAAAGCTGTAATTACCACAACAGTTTGGTACTGATGTAAGGCTAGACCATAGACATATAAACCAATGGAATAGAATTGAGAATTCAGAAATAAGCTCATTCATCGATGGTCAACAGGTATCTGACATGGGTGCTAAGTCCATTCAAAGGGGAAAGAACAGTCTCTTCAAAAAATAATACTGGGAAGACTGGATCTCCACATGCAAAAGAATGAAGCTGGACTCATAACTCACACCACACCTGAAAATTAATGCAAAATTTTAATGTTAAGAACTAAAACCACAAAACCCTTAGAACAAAATATAGGGTAATGCTTCAGGACCTTGTTTTAGGATTCTTAAATGGATTCTTAGCTGTGATACCAAATGCTTGAGCAACAAAATACAAAATAAACTAGACTTCATTAAAATTGTGCATCAAAGAACTTTATTAACAAAGTGAACAGACAATCTACTGAATGGGAGACTATTTGGAAAAGATATATCTGCTAAAAGTTTACAATCCAGAATACAGAAGGAACATCAACAACAAAAATGCAAACAACCTTAACAAAAAATGGACAAAGGACTTACACCTTTCACAAAAAAAGATATACAAATGGCCAACAAGCAAATGAAAGGATGTTCAATGTCATAAGTCACTGTTGTTGTTGTTGTTATGTGCCGTCGAGTCGGCCCCGACTCATAGCGACCCCTCCTTGGGTTTCCGAGGCAGTATCACTACGAAAGTAGGATTGCCCAACCTTCCTTCCGAGGAGTGGCTGGTGGGTTTGAACCACCAGCCTTCTGGTTAGCAGTCAAGTGCTTTAGCCACTATGCTACCAGAGCTCCTACTAGGGAAATGGAAATCAAAACCACTATGATACAGTACTTCATACCCTCTAGGACGGCTATTATCAGAATAATGGAAAATAACAAGTGTTGGCAAGGATGTGAAGAAATGGAATCGTCATCCATTGCTGGTGGGATTAGAAAATGATGAAGCCACTGTGGAAAAAAGTTGATGGCTTCTCAAAAAGAGAAACATAAAATTACTATATAACCCAACAATTCCACTCCTAGGCATATACCCAAAAGACCTGAAAGCAGCAACTCAAACAGATATTTGTATACCAATGTTCACCACAGCATTATTCACAGTAGCCAAAAGGTAGAAACAATCCAAGTGTCCATCAACAGAAGAACACATAAACAAAATGTAGTGTACAAAGAAATATTCAGTTATATAAAAAATGAAGTTCTGATACATACTAGGAAATGAATTAACCTTGACAACACACTAAGTGAAAGAAATCAGATACAAAAGGACAATCTGATCCCACTTACATGAAATATTTAGAATAGGCAAATACATAAAAACAAAAGTTTATTAGTAATACCAAGGGCAACTGAGAGGGGCAAATGAGGAGTTATTGCTTAAAGGTCATTGAGTTTCTGTTTAGGGTTAGAAGAATATTTGGAAATGGATAGTGGTGATGGTTGCACAACATGGTAAACATAATTAATGTTACTGAAGTATATACTTAAAAATGGCTGATACATTTTGTTATATATATTTTATCACAATACAATTTATTTTAATCATCATACAAACTCTTTTCATAATAAGAACATCCTTGGACTTCCCCATCAGAAATTATATTTACAATGGTAATTCAGACTTACACCTGATAGTTTTGAGAAAACCTCAAAACTGGCAAATGGAATTGATACCCCAAGTCCAACAAGGAGATTCTGGCAAAGAATACAGTAATATTTCAGACTTCAGTTTTCATTATGATAATTTTTTTAATCAGAACCAAGAATTTTTCCTAGGTCTAAGTTTTTAGAAGGATATACACTTAAGTATTTTCAGGCACTGAAAGTCTAGAACTTGTGATACTGGGAATACAAAAACTTTTTTTTTTTTTTTGGTCATAATGACCTATTCTTATTAATTCTTTCAGAAAATTATGTATTAATCTGATGACTACAAATGCAATAAATGGTAAACCAAAACCATCATTACACCACAGAGAAAGTCTGCGGAAAAACTAAGGATGCTACTTTTGGCATTAAAGGGTAAAGTATAAGCCATAGCGCCTATAATTGGTTTCTGATTAATTTGATTTATTCTCTGGTTATCATATATACTTCTAGGCTTCTTCCCTCCTCCATTCTGACTTGTCTTAAAAAAATCCTGAAGCCTTTTCTCATCTCTTTTAGCCTGACTACAAGGAATCCTTCCAAAAGCATCTTCTGGCCCTGAAATCACTGCATAAGGCAGGGATCCTAAGCATCCATTCTGAAAAATACTGGCCAAAAACTAAAAATGGGATAAAGGACTGGAGCAAAAAATTTTTAATAGTATTAGTCATTTCTGAAGTCAAAACCAGAACAAGAATTATGTTCAGATTTCAAAAAAAGAGAATACTGAATAAGACCTTTAAGGAGCATACTTCACAAGCTGTTTGCTCTTTTTCAAGGACCCAGACAAAGTGTGCACTTCTGTAGTAAGAGAGAAAATATATGTCTTACCTTGGACATATATGGCATATTCACACAACCCCTGAGTCTCCTGAAGCTGTTCTTTGATAACAGCCTGAGAAAAGATGAAAAATACTTCTGAATAGTGGTTAAGTGTCTTTAAGAAAAGACAGACATAGACAAGGGACATATAAAAGAAAACTAGGGAAGGTAGATGGGGCTATCTACTTCCATAGTGATACCACCTCGGAAACCCAAGGAGGGGTCGCTATGAGTCGGGTCCGACTCAAGGGCACATAACAACAACAACAACGAAATCATTTAGAATTTTTTTTTTTAAAGTATCAACTCTTGTTATGATTAGTTATTCTAGAACAGGGATTGGCAAACTACAGTCTGTGGGCTAAATCCAATAACACAGACTGTTTCTGTGCAGTTCTTGAGCTAATAATGGTTTTCTTTTTTTTTTTTTAAGTGTTTTTTATTTTTAAAAAAAAATCAGAAGTCGAATCTTTAATGGGTACAGAGTTTCTGTTTGGGGTGATGAAAAAGTTTTGGAAATAAATAGTAGTGCTGACTGCAAAAAAAAAAAAGAATAATATGCAACAGAGACTCTATGTGGTCTGCAAAGCCTACAATAAAATTGTGTCAACCTCTGTCTAGAAGCTTCTGGAGCTAAAGCAAACTAAGAGAGAATGAAAAGATTTTCAAGCACCATTATAGATGCTGGAGACTCCAGCAACTGACAAACAAACAAACAAAAGATCTACCTTTCTATTACAATGAACTAACCCAGGGTGCCATAAAAGCCTATTGATAGGCACCTAATTCTATCTTAGAGCAACAGGCAAGCCTTTCCGCAGTAAACAGTTTCAAATCCTGCACTGGCAACAGGGGAAGATAAACTGAGGTGGCCAAGGTAGTCAGATAGCATAGAGAAGGCCATGCCAAAAAAAAAAAATGAGGGTCATGGGGAAATCACGATGACCTGTAAGGAGGGAATAATCTGATCCTATTTGCTCTACAGGAAAATCATTTCTGGAGCACTGTTGAAAGTAGAGCAAAAGGGCACTAAAAAGTTGGTAGAAGAATATTTGTGATAATTTAAGTAAAAATGATGGGGATCATTTAAGGCATGGGAAGGGAAAAACATGGACAATTTCAAGAGATAATAAGAGAAGAAGGTTCTCCAGAACTTAATTATCATCATGGGAGAAGGGGAACGGGAGATTCTGACAGACAGCTGGGTGAATGATGGCCACCCCTGAAATGGAGAACGAGGAGTAAGTTGGGAAGGGAAGCAGATAAATTCAGCTACAGAAAAGTTAAATTTGAAATGCTTGTGAGGTACTCAGTAGGTATCAAACTGGCCCTAGAGATCAGGAAGAAGAGTGTAGAATGAGTAGAGAATGAGATCAAGGGACGGATGGATCCTGGGAATATCCCCAACTCTTAAGAAATGAACAGAGGCATACCCTACTGGGAGGATTGTAAAATGGTGCAACCACCATAGAAAACAGTATGATGCTTCCTTAAATAGTTGGAAATAGAAATACCATTTGAACCAGCAATCCCACTACTAAGTATATATCCTAAAGCAGTAAGAGCTGGGGCACGAATAGATATATGCACATCCGTGTACACAGCAGCACTGTTCATAATAGCAAAGATCAAGATATGAATGGATAACCAAACTATAGTACATATACACAATGAAATACTGTGCAAAACTAAAGAAAAATGAATCTGTGAAACAACTTATAATGTGGATGAACTTGGAGGACATTATGCTGAGTGAAATAAATCAATCACAGGACAAATACTGTATGACTCCACTGTTGTAAAAGGTCAAGGAAAGGTTTACACATGGAAGGAAACTTTCTTTGTTGGTTACCAGGTATGGGAGGAGATGGAAGGAAAAACTGCTATCTAGGTAAGAGATGCATAATGATTTGGGTTACGGGAAAGGCGATATACCAAAGCAGATGACCAGCACAATAACACTAAGGAAAAGGAAGACAGAGAGAGGTGTACAACAAAAATAAATATTTTTATATACACAACACTGCATTATTAGTAATAACAAATATTAATCTATAGGTATATATACAGGTAAGCAGGCAAAATGATCAGGTATAGGTAGATGAAAGGGAATGTACTCATAACTGTATGTAAATCTGGCAGATGATATTTCTACATATGTATTTGTATAAGAACATCCATTTATATAATAGGGCTAACAGGGGGCAAAGTTATGATAACTTCTTAGCCAGAGCCAAACACCTTCAGGGAGTAAGTCGCTGGGCCTGTGGCCTTGGGACTATGGTCATGGGGAACATCAGGGTCAATTGCAAAAAGGGCATGGAGGTAGCGTCTTTTGACTTCCTTTAACTTCACAAGGGGGAGGAGGAATGACAGTGAGCAGCCCAAAGCTTATTCATGAGGCCAAACATGCTACCACCCTCCAAATCTTTTTAGCAGTTCCAACATGAACCATCCCTCCCACAGCACTCACAACTTCTCTGCTGGATTCAATAATGTGCTGCAATGGCCACAGAGAACTCACAGACTATACTCTTGGGGTTTATTAGGGAAGTAACAGGCTACAATTCAGGTTCAGGAAAACTCTCAGGATCCGGTTCTTCGATCAGGACAGTTTCCCCTCTGCTATGCCCTCAGGCATGCCTCTCTGGCTCTTGGCCTCTCTGGCCCAGCCCCTGCCCTGCTTGGGCAAGTGGTACAAAGCTCTTTTAGCTCTGCCAGTAAGTATACCTAGGTGCATCCCACTCCACGAACAAGCCTCCTGCCCAAGGGCATTAAGCTTTCTGGCTCTGTGGGTCAGCAAGGTTACCACTCTGTGTCACGCCTTGGTTCTACTGGCACTGTCTCTCAACCAGGGTGTCCCTGCTGGGTCATCTCTCCCAGGGCATCTCTGCCAAGGAGGTCCACCACAGGGATCTCAGGTCCAAGGATGGGCTCTACTTCACCTCTAGCTACTCTCTCTTCATGGCAGTGAGATCCCCTCCTTTCCTTCTAGGAAGGCTGATTTTAAGCCCAGCAGCATGGCAAAACTAACCAATTCTCGCATTAAAGTTCCATACACCTTATTTGCATAATCCCACCAGTAATCTGGTGGGAGTCACAAAGACCATGACTAGAAAAGCCATACCAAGTAATTCACTGCATTTTGTTTCATGATGTTGCTTGCACAAACATACTACACAAAAACATGGCTCTCCATCCTACTTTGTGTGAGTAGCAACTGGAGTCTTAAAACATTATAAGCCACCATCTGAGATGAGACAACTGGTCTCTCCTTGCCCAGAGCAAAGAAGAGTGAAGAAAATTAAAGATGCATGAATTATTCCAAGGGACTAGAGGACATGGGAACCTCAGCCTATATGAACCTGAGACTAGAGAACTAGACAGTCCCTGGCAACTACTGGCAACCATTACGAAAGGGATCAAAACTGGTGATCCTGAATTGAGTAGGAGAAAAATGTGGAACAAAACTCAAAATCATTCACTGGTCTGGTAGAGACTGATGAAACACCCAAGACTATGGCCCCGAGTTACTCTTCAGGCCTGGAATTGAACTCATTCCTGTGGCTTCCAATCAAACAATGCTGTTTGTTGTTATTTGCCCTCGAGTCAGAGTCAGACCGGACTCATAATGACCCCTCCCCCTGGGTTTCCCAGGCAGTATCACTACAGATGTAGATTGTTCAACCTTCCTTCCAAGGAGTGGCTGGTGGGGTTGAACGGCCAGCCTTCTAGTAAGCAGTCAAGTGCCTTAGGCACTATGCTACCAGAGCTCCCAACCAAACAGACAGGCAGATAAGGTAAATAATTACACCAGGTAGGTACACTCCTTAGAGCAATCAACCATGGGAGATCAGAAGGGCAGAATTTGTGCAGGGAGGTAGCTCAGAGGGCAAGAATGCATAGGATATAGGGTTGGCAGACAATGGTCCTAAAAGTGTACTTGTATGATCTGAATTCCCAGATGTATAACAGAGCTGACAAGGGACAAGACTGTAATCACTTCTTGGTCACAGCCAGCTACCCAGAGGGACCAAGTGAGTGGCTGAACCTGTGGGCTCGGGACCATAGTCACAGGGGACATCAAGCTCAATTGGTGTAACATACTACGCAAAACACTGTTCCACTTCCTACTTTGGCGAGTAGCAACTGGGATCTTAAAAGCTTGCAAGCAGCCATCTAGATGCAACAATGGGTCTCTCTTCATCCAGAGCAAGAAAGAATGAAGAAAACCAAAGATTCATAGAAAGAATTAGTCCTAGTGACTGGTACACCATGTGATCTGCAGCCTATACCACTATGAGACCAGAAAAACTAGATGGTGCCCGGCTACTACTGTAAACCACTGGGAGGGGGATCTATGTAGGAGATCCTGGATAGAGAAGGAGAACATTGTGGAACAAAACTCAAAATAATTTGGGGGAAAAAAAAGGAGGGGGGGGGACCTGGTCTGGTAGAGCCTGATGGAACCACTGAGCCTATGGCCCCTAGCTGCCCGTCAGGTCTGGAACTGAACCCACACCTGTGGCTTCCAGCCAAACAAAAGACAGGCATAGGAGTTGAACATTTACCTGAGGTAGACACACTCCTTGGAGAGAACAACCATGAGAGAAAGAAGAGCTATTTATGCACAGGGAGATAGCTCAGGGGGCAGGGGTGCATGGAGGGATAGACACAGGGAAGAGGTGACTGTCGGGGGGAAGTAGGTTGAGCGCTGCCGCATTGTGGTAAACTGTGGTCAATGTCATGAGACAAAGTATATGTGAACTGCTGTATGGAAAGTGAATTTGCTCTGTAAATTTTTAGCCAAATCACAATTTTAAAAAAAAAGAAGAAAGAAAAGAAGAATGCATAGGAAAGGAGGACACAGGGAAAAGGCAACCACAGGGAGGAAGTGGGAAGAGAGCTGTTATATTGAGGGGATTGCAATCAATATCATGAAACAAAATGTGTACGAATCATTGAAGGGAAAATGAATTTGCTCTGTAAACTCTCCCTCAAATCACAATTTATTTAAAAAAGAAGAAGAAGAAATGAGCAGAGGAAGATAGGACAAAAAAGGAAACTGAGAAGTGGTCAAAAAAGTAAAAAAGAAACTAGGAAAGGGTAATATACACTAAAACCATAAAATTCTTAGAAGAAAAAGCAGGAGCAATGCTCTCAGGCCTACAAAACCACAAACAGTAAAAGACTATAAATAAATGGGTCCTCCCCAGAATTAAAAACTTCTGTTCATCAAAAGACCTTACCAAAAAAAAAATGGGGGAAAAAAAAGCTACTGAATGGGACAGTATCTTCAGAAACCATGTATCTGAAAAAAAAAAAATAATCAAAATATATATAAAACTTTGACAACTTAATCATAAAATGGGCAAAGAACTTAAATAGGTATTTCACCAAAGAGAGCAGACGTTCCAATGGTCACCAAACACATGAAAAGATGTTCAGCATCATTAGCCATCAAAGAGATACAAATCAAAATCACAGTAAGATACTATTTCACTCCCACCAGGATAGCTAAGATTTAAAAAACAAACAAACAGTTGGTGCAAACATAGGGAAACTGGAACCCTTATCCATTGCTGGTGGGAATACAAAATGGCTCAGCTCTTGTAGAAGACAGAGTAGTGGTTCCTCAAAAACTAAAAAACAGAACTACCATATAACCCAGCAATTCCACCCTAAGTATATACCCAAAAGACTTGAAAGCAGAGACTCAAAAAGAGACTTGTATACTAATGTGCAATGCAGCACTATTTACAGTAGCCAAAAGGTGGGAACAACCTAAATGCCCATCAACAGATGAATGGATAAACAAAATGTGGTACATACATAGAATGGAGTACTGAGCAGCCAGTAGGAGAAAGGAAATCTTGATACATGCTACAGTACGGATGAAGCTTGAAGACATTATTTTAAGCAAAATTAACTCCATCACAAAAAGTTAAATATTTTATAATCTCACTAATATAAAAAAACAAGAAAAGGCAAATGTAAAGAGACCAAAGTTTATGGGAAGAAAGGGGAAAAGGGGGAAAGATAATGGAAAAATCACACTGATTAAGGTTAGGGTTGCACAACCAATTCTTGTAACTGCTGTCAAAAAGTTGCACACCTATAAAAAGCTGAATTGGAAAATGCTCTGACAGATATATTTATAACAGCAACAACAACAACAAAAAGGAGCTGAGGAGGTTGCTTATGTACAACCAAACAACTCAAGGGATTTGGTTCCTTGGTTTGGAGTTTTAGGTTTCATGGGACATCTTAGTTAATCAGCCTAATGTCTTTACTGCTTCTGTGCTACCTCCCAGTTCATCATCACGTGTTGCCCAGGGCCTACAAAGCTTACAAGTGGCTACCCAAGGCAAACAATTTGTCTCTCTATTCGCCTGGAGAACCAGAGAAAGAAAGAGAGTCAGGGACAGGAGGAGGAGACGAAATGTGAGGCTAAATGCCTCCATGAACCCCTCCATGCCTCCTTTGCCATGAGCCCAGAAGAACTGGATGGTGCCTAGCTACCATTACTGAAAGTTTTGATCCAAGATTCCATAGAAGAATCTTGATCAAAATGGGGGAAATGGTGAACAGAAATTCAAATTCTCATGTATTCCAGACTTTTTGGAGCTATGGAGAGTAGATGAACCCCTTAAACTACTGTCCTGAGATAATCCTTTAACCTTGAATCAAAATATCTCCTGAAGCCTTCTTAAAACCAAACAGTATTTTAGCTTAACTAGTAAAAAAAGGTCTCCCTGAGCATTATGCTCTTTTAAGAACTATGGATATGGGATCAAATTGACAATAGCAACTTATGAGATAAGACAGGAACCTTAGGGGCACTGAGTTTATGTTAATAAGAGAACAACAACTCAAAAAAGAAAGATGAGAATTGTTGCACAACTTGAAGAATGTTATCAATGTCACTAAACTGTACAGGCAGAAACTGTTGAACTGGTGTATGTTTGCTGTATATATTCTAAACAACAACAAAATAAAAATTAAAGGGAAAAAAAAAGGACAGAGATACTGGACTTACTATTATGCATTGAGTATGTGCTTCCCTTGAGTTTTTGTGGTTTATAATTTCAATTTCTCAAATTATAAATGCCACACACATAAATGAAAAAATTACAACCTTCAAAGCAATACAAAGCTCTGAATGCCAAAAAAAAAAGCAGTACCAAGAATATATTCTGCAAAATATACTATTCTGCCAGCAACTATAAATATGTAACATATGGCCAATTGCCAAAGATATAAGTAGTGTACACAAAAAGAAAATACAAATGGTTTTTAAATGTGTGAATGATGATTGACTTCATCTATAATAAGAGAAATATAGAAATACTCAATGAAATACCACATCACCTATCCAAAGATCAAAAAGTTAGATGACACGCTGTACTGAACATCTGCTCGCCACAAGACCAACACACCCCAGAGAGTGGCTGCTCCTCCAGCCCAGACTTGAAATGTATAGACAACTCCTAAATATGATCCACAGAGCACCCCTGAACCCACCAAAACCAAAAACCAAACTCACTACTGTGGAGTCAATTCTGACTTTCAGCAACCCTGAAGGATAGATAAGAACTGCCCCATAGGATTTCCAAAGCTTTCTATACATTTTTACGACAGCAGACTGCCTCATCTTTCTCCTGTGAACAGCTGGTGGAGTCAAAGCACGAACCTTTCTGTTAGCAGCCAAGCACTTTAACTACTGAGAGCCACCAGGGATTGTCCACCCATAAGCATTGCTAAACCTGACCCACAAAGCACCCCTGAACCTGACCCACAGCCTAGAGTCAAACTGAGCCAATCAGAGTCAATCTGGAGAGCCATGAACAATAAATAAATGTCTGTTATTGGGACCACTAAAGATTCTGAGATTGTTAAACTGCACTATTCCTGCAAAAGCTAAGCAGTACAGAAAATGTGGGGAAACAGGAATTCATACACTATTCGTGGGATATAAACTGCCACAAACTGCATAGCAGACACTGTTTAGTTGTCTACCCAATAGTCTGTCTTTCATTTTCTTTATCACTGTAATCTCTTACCTTGCATGCTTCATAATCCTTCCGGACATAGTGGAGATGTATCAACCAGTTCTGCTTCTCCAAAATAGGAAACTCGGGAGCTGGGTAGCACATTTTGACAAAACAAGCAACACAGTCATTGTTAGAGTTTCTCCCTTACTGTTGTTATGTCTAAGTATAAACAATAACTATATTACAGTATCACATTAAATTCTTCATACTGCTGACCATAGGAATATATTACAAAGCATCAAAAATGTATAGACTGTTAAACTAAGAGATACTTGTCTTACTATTACACACTGAGTATATGCTTCCCTTAAGTTTTTGTGGCTTCTGTTTTCAGTTTCTCACATTAGCATTTCAGCTGAACTGAGAAAAAAAAAAAAAACCCTCTCCTCTTCTTTCTCGATCTCTCTCCAGTTATAAAAAGAGGCAGACTTTCTAAAGGAGATTTCAGGAATGTTACTAAAAAAATACATATGGCATAGTTAATGCCATATCTGGATAGATCAGAGTACCAAACAAATTTTTAATGGTTGAATACAAATTCCAGAAATAGCTTAAATGTGAAACATTATGCTGTTGCCTAGGAATGAGAAGTCAACAAAGAAAAAAATCTATTTGAAACATTAAAAATTACTCATGATAGACACCACAAAAATTACCTGCTGAAACTCAAAATTTTAAAGTACAGGTAAAAATTCATTAAGATATTATTTTTCTGTGGTAACAAGAAGGAAAAAAGAAAGAGAAGGAACCACATCAACCTCAGAACAATGGTGACCCTGAAAAAGGGAGAAGGAAGGGGACTTAGAAAATATAAAAAAGGAGAATTCAAGTCTTTCTCTAGTATTTTATTTCTTTAAAAAATTAAAATAAAAAGCTCTAAAGTAAATATGGCTAAAAGAACTTAGCACCTAGGGCAAATTACAGAAGAGTTCCTGCAGTGTTATGTTTATTCAGTTATGGAACTGTTTAAAATCTAAGGCTGGTGCCTCTTTGACCAGGGTGGGAGGAGTTGTAGGAAGGGAGGTCACAAAAAAATAGAATGTTTCTATTCATTACATGTACCAGTGAGTACATGGATATCTATATAATAATTTCCTACACTTAATATGTTTGAGATATTTCCTGTTTTCTAAGAATATAAAAGGGTATTATAGCAGGGAGATTCCTTTCTTGATGTTTCAGAACCTTAGGAGAAACAATCAAATGAAAATCTATGACTAATATATCCACCACATGACAAGAAGAAATAAAAACTTACCATGACTCAAAGAGTTAATGTTGCCTGAACACAAAGATTAAGGAGGAGCTGCTTGCTCCTTCCCAAGAATAGGGAATACTGATGGAACTATGCAAGATGAAATTATGACAGAAAATATGGATATGATTTTATACGCAGAGAAGGAAAAGAATTTTAAGGAACTGGCCCAGCCCCTTCCAACTGCCCTAATTCTCTTAGTGCAACACCTTTCTTCTAGTCAGCAAGAGCTTCTTTGAGATTCTTCTCTGAGTTTTCTTTACCTCCTTCTCTTTCTCCAACCTCCATCAATCATCAGATCTTAGCCATTTACATTCTGCCTACTACTTACAGAATTAAATTTCCTGCTTAAAGCCAAACAAATCACCAAGATTAAAGACGTGTGTGAGGTAGGAAAGAGAATGTGTTTGTGTGGCGAACAGGTAAAGTACACCTAATGAATATTCTGGGGACAACAAGGGCCTTAGTGAGTAACCTTAAGCCAAATCTCAATTCTGTGGTCTACTCCTATGTCACCTATGTGCAGATGTGAACGAGAAGGAGCCCGTAAGAGTTTACGATATTGCTAAGTACTGTTTTTACACCTTAACAGAGAAAATGTATAAAATGCAAATTTTCAAGTCTTTCTTGTTACTAAAACCTCACAGTAAAAGACAAGTTATATTTTCTGTTTCCTGAGTGAAAAATGAAGAAAAAAATGTGCAATCTGTATGGAAGCTCAAGGGCCCAAGGAGTCATGAGTTGGAGCCCGAGGGTTAGAGACAACAAACCAAAAAAAAAAGAAAACAAACACTGCCATTGAGTCAATTCTGACCCACAGAGACCCTCATTGAGTTTCCAAGGCAGTAAATCTTTACGGAAGTAGACTGCCAATCTTCCTTCCATGGAGTGGCTGGTGGGTTTGGACCACCAATGTTCTGGTTAGGAGTCCAGTGCCTTATGCAGAAGGCACCACCAAACTGAAGTGCTAAAGGTCACTTTACACTCCTAGAGATGTAGATTGTCTAAAAACTAAAGAAAATCTCTTGCTTCATCTAAGACTTGAGAAAACATTTCAGTGCCTAATTGTCCCAGTACCAGCTGTGTGATCTTGGGAAATTTAGTTTCCTTATCTGTAAAATGGAGATTCCAGCTACTGAAAAAATATTTATTGAATGCCTACCACATGCCAGGCACTGTTCTAGTCACTGGGGATACAACAGGACCAAAACTGATTCCCTACTTTCATGGAGCTTTTAATTAGTATGTGTGGGATGGTGGAGTAGCGGGTACTAGCAGAAATGACAGACGTGTAGCACAATAAAAACTCAAAACTCACTGCCATCAAGTCGATTCTGATTCATAAAGACCCCCTTTGGGTTTCTGAAGCAGTTAATCTTTACGGAAGTAGACTGCCTAGTCTTCCTCCTGCTGAATGGCTGATGCGTTTGAATCATCAACCTTCTGGTTAGCAATCAAATGCCTTAGGCACCATGCCAAGAAGTTACATGTATTTACAGATGAAATATTTCTATAGAAAAAAAAGAAAGCTGGGAAAGACAAGGAGGGCAGGGGATCACAATTTTAAAAGGAAGTTGGGGGGATAAAATACCCATCCTCCTAGTGTTGTGAGGACTGAATGACTTTCTAAAAAGAGGTTCAAAGAGTGGCTGGTATATAATAAGCATAAATTAACTATTGTTGTTGCTGCCATTTTTATCATCATTGTTATTTAGGAATTCTGGATACCTTAGAAACCTCTTGACTCTATGAATCCTGAATTTACAGTTAGAATTTTACCTGTAATTCTGATAGCTGAATTTCTTATTTTCCAAATCATTGTCTGCTCACTCTAACTCCCTCTGCCAAGAGGTATACTAATTATTATATGCTTTTGCAGGTATTACGAGAATTACCTATTTCAAAGATCTTAAAAAAAAAAAAAAAAGGCATGATTAAGGAAAGCAAAGCCTCCTCTATTTTACAGAAAACTAAGGTGACTGGAAATCCAATGCTGCACATGAGGAGCCTGTATTATTACCACAGAGGGAGGTCAGGTGGCTAGCTGGTGAGGTGAAGACAAGGTATTGTCTTCAGATGATGATTAAAAAAAAAGATCTAGCTCAATACTCCCAATCCCACACTGCCCCTCCTACCATCACATCACCAAGGCAAATGGGGCAGAAAGCTGGCTACCCAGCACCAACACACCTTTGGCCCTTCTCTTCTCCTGCCAAAATTCTACTCTTTTGTGACATCTCTCTGCCTGCTTTACCCTTTCATGGAGGCACCAGATTTAGATTTTAAACTATTCCGTAACTGGATAAACAAGACACCATAAGAACTCTTCTCCCCTGTGATTTGTCCTAGGTTTTATGTTCTCTTAGAAATGAACCTACTTCAAACCTTTACATTAAAGTTCAATTAATGCTAGGGAAAAGCGTTTCCTAGCTCTCTGAGGGCTAAGCAGAAAATATTTTGGTTTCATTCTTTAGCTGAAAATTTTTCTAAAATGACTAAGGCTTTTCTAAATACAATATAAGTGAAGCCCTTTTTGCTAAAAGATCTCTTCTAAGGCTAGCAGACTGGTAGCATAGTGCCTAAGGCACTTGACTGCTAACCAGAAGGCTGGCGGTTCAAACCCACCAGCCACTCCTCAGAAGGAAGGTTGGGCAATCTACTTCTGTAGTGATACTGCCTTGGCAACCCAAGGGGGGGTCGCTATGAGTCGGGTCTGACTCGATGGCACATAACAACAACAACAAGGCTAGCAGACAGGTAGCACAAAAAAAGTTTTTTATATAGAATTCTGACCTTAATACAACTCCAGCCTTCTGTTTAACTTTTCCAAGGCTACATTTTTCACCTATAATTTTCACTACAAAATTATCAAAATTCTCAAAGTGGACAATCAGTATATGTTAATTTCCTCAAGCCAAATAGGAATCAGAACAAAGTTTTACCTCAATACAATATTCGAGATGTCAAAAGACATAAGGAATCTTAAAAAAAAAAAAAAGACATAAGGAATCTTGAAAAGAATGTAAATGAAATAAGACATTTTTAATTTTTGAGCTCTGTATCAGTCAACGTCTAACCAGGAACCCAGAAACCTCTTGAAGATATAAAACAGGAACTTTTTATAGTAAGCATGTGACAAAAGAAAAGAGACACACAAAAGGAAACAGTGAAACAAGCCAGACATTAGCATGAACAAAAGCCTACTGTAGGCAGGAGGGATAAAAGGAGAATAGGTGTTACATGAGGAGCTCTGGTAGCATAGTGGCTAAGGCCCTTGACTGCTAACCAGAAGGCTGGCGGTTCAAACCCACCAGCCACTCCTCGGAAGGAAGGTTGGGCATTCCTACTTCCATAGTTATCCTGCCTCGGAAACCCAAGGAGGGGTCGCTATGAGTCTGGGCCGACTCGATGGCAAACAACAACAACAACAACAGGTGTTACATGAGTATCCAGGGCTGATATTACCTTGAGAAAGTGGAAAGAAAACAAGATAGGCCTGACAAATGCGAGCAGCAGCAACAGAAGAGGTGCTGTCAGAGATTATTCCCCAGCCCCTTGACTCATCCAAGCACAGAGGAAGGGGGAAATTTTCCTGGTTTCTCCTCCTTCCTGCTCTTCTAGTCTCTTGCCATTTCCTCTCACTGACTAATCCAGCCAGAAACTCTTGACTTAGGAGCCTGAGAAGGAAGGGAGCCTGCAAGGAAGGGCTGGCCCCTCACAATCCAAAGCAGAGAAGGGAAGAATATGTAATGGGCAAACAGGTCCAGGATCTGCAGAAACATCAACTCTTATTGTTTAAGGGCATAAATAATGATGAAACAGGAAGAGGATGGACTGAATCAATACTGACCTGAGAATACATGCTATAAACTCGTTTTTCCTTTCTTTCTTTTAATTTCTGTTATCCAGCTTGTATGTTTCTCAGGAGATTAAGAACGGGAAGTTGCTGTTGTTGTTAGGGCCATGAGTTGGCTCTGACTCATAGTGACCCTTCATATAACAGAATGAAACACTGCCCAGTCCTCTGCCAGCCTCATAACCCTTGCTATACTTGAGCCCATCACTACAGCCACTATGTCAATCCATCTCACTGAGGGCCTTCCCCTTCTTCATTAACTCTCCACTTTACCAAGCATGATACCTTCTCCAGGTCCCTTCTGACAACATGCCCAAAGTAGGTGAGACAAAGTCTGGCCATTCTCACTTCCAAGGTGTATTATGGATGCATTTTTTCCAGGACATACTTCGTCTTCTTGCAGTCCATGGTACTTTCAGTATCTTCACCAACACCACAACTCAAAAGCATCAACTCTTCTTCACTCTTCCCTGTTCACTGTCCAGCTTTGACATGCAATTGAAAATACCACGTCTTGGATT